AGGAGAACTTTTCTGCTCCATATGGTGACATTATACCAAAATCCAGTTATTCCAAGACTTGTGATATTTCATCATATATGATACAGAGTCTGTTTATGAAACAAGGAAGTTTTAAGATTTCATATCAAAAATGCCTCTAATTCAAGAATCAAACAAAGTCATGACCTAATAACCACGGCAATTTCTAAATGAGGGGTCTCCAAACTCTGTCCTGGAGGGCAAGTGCAAGAGACCCCCGTTTTAGATGGTCCATTTCTGTAGCCCAGTGGTTACCAATCCTGGTCCTGGAGAACCCCCAAAACTGCATGTTTTTGATGTCTGTTTTATATGACACACTTTTGAGGTCTTGGAGTCTTTACTACTGAATTGACGAGATGAAGGTGTGTTTGATTTGGGAGGTTTCTGAAATGGGGATCTCCAGGACCAGGATTGGTAACCACTGCTTCAGACTATTGACAATACATTGGTGCAATGTCTTCACAAAATCCATTTTTTCCTGATATACTGTATCGCTGTAACAAGCTTCATGGGGCAACAAAAAAAAAAATAGAAATGGATGGTGGTTGATGAAAACAGGGTAAAAGGGGAAGGGTGTGAATGAAATGGAAAAAGGAAAGATGGGAGTGGGCAAAACAGATGGGATGATGGTGGTAGTAGAGTTCAAGAAGCAGCTGTGAGTGTCAGATCTAAAACAGCTCATGAGAGGCATATAGGGGGACGGGTGGGAACTAAAGGAAGGTACGATGAGGGTCGAGACTTTGTGAGATTGAGAAACAAGGATTAAAGAAGAAGAGAGGCATGCAAATGTGAAAGTGTAACTGTAGGATGTGAAATGGTTGGGAAGAGGATGCACCTGATGGAGGAGAGGAACGAGGGATGGCTGAAAGTGTGGAGAGGTGGGCCATAAATCCTGAGGGGGCCGTGGCAAACACAGCTGTTTCAGAACAAGCCAGATGTGAAAGACAAACAAGAGGGATTTGAACTTCAGAATGTAGCTTCTCCTGCACTGTTGTTTATGAACTTTTAAAACGTGAATTTTAGAGCCCGGTCTCATGAAAATGCAAATAAATAGTACGCCAAATAAAAACAAAAACTTGTGGTATTGATACGCAAAAATTGACTTTGGCGTGCATATGATACGCACGTGTTTGGCGTACATATAATACGCAATTTTCACGTACATATGATACGAAATTTGTTAGCGTGCATATGATACTCAGTTTTTCGCATACATATGATACGCATCTACCCCACAACCCTAATCTTACCCATTGCGTAGCATATAGACGCCAAAGTAAATTTTTGCGTATCAATACCATGAGTTTTTGTTTTTATTTGGCGTACTATTTATACACACTTTCGTGAGATCGGGTTGGAATTTTACCACAAATCTTGCGGCATATTTGGAAGAATTTACATACAACTTCTGACCTAGTGGGATAAAAGTGCATATGTGTGTTTTTTGGCCTGCAGCCCACAGCCAGGTGTGGAAGATACAGGTGAGATATCCATTCATCAGATTAGGTGACACACAAACATCACATTTAAAAGGTTATTTTGATTGAACTCAACCTAGTTTTGAAAGTGAATCTCTGTTCTGTCGTTCATTTTTACAGAGCGTGACCGAGTATATCTCCATACCGCCTTATCTTTACCTCTTTATTTTCGTGCAGCCGCACCGTTGTTCAAATGACAGCTGTTTCCTTTGACAAGCAGACCTTCACTGCCTGGAGAAACACACGCACATGCACATAATGTCTCAAAATAAGAGAGTGAATGGTAATTACTCATTCTTAAGAGTCAAACAGCTGTTCACTGCACGCGTCTATAGTCATTCAGAAAACACACAATGAAAGAACAGCCAAGGGGTGACAACTTAAGAGTGGTAGAGTGAGATGTTTAGAAATCAAAAGAGCCACATAACACAAACTCTAATAATTTGTATTTGAGAGACACTTCTCTCCAAAGAAGCTTAAAATAAATGTATCAGTATGTCATCCCCGGGAACCGAACCCATGACCTTGGCATTGCTAGCGCAACGCTCTATCTGTTGAGCTGAAGTAATAAAACTAGCTACAGGACTGAAGACACAAACATTTTTGCTGAGAAATTCATATTGAAATCTCTTTTGAAATCAAAATTTGAGACAATGTAGAGATCTCTTTTGAAACTCTAGAGCAGTGGTTCTCAACCGGGGGCCTCAGGAAACTTGAAAATGATTTAGAATGATCAACAGTAAGATAAAACAAACAATAAAATAAGAATTAATTTTTTCCCCCCTCAGCTAATTTTTCACCCTTTGAAGAACCAGGGTTCCTTGATAAAAACACGATATTTGAGGTAGCTTCATTTTAAAAGTGGGATTTCTAGACCAGGAAAAGTCATGTAAATTAATAAACTGCCATAGGATTTTTTTTTAGAACAAAAGCACATTTCTTCTATAGCCTGTAGTCTCCTGGGCATGCTTCAGTTTTATTCCCAGACTCGGTCTGAATCATTTTTAGACCTAAATTTGTATCAATTTTACTGGTAGTCCACTGTATGAAGAATTTTTGGGTATGATTTGTCACAGTTTACTTTATTTTGCTATCCTCACTTACATAAATGAACTATAGTGTCCTGCACCCACTAGTAAAAAAATATTTTAAATTATATCTGGTCTCTGAATAATTTTTGGTTTGACTGTATATCCTTCGGTTATTTTCACACTTAATTATGCCCATTAAAATGTATTTTACAAGTTTTTGTTACTTTCACTGTTCATTGTTTTGCTCTATGGTACATCATCTTTAATTTAATAGCATTAGAGCTGCTCCATTGCAGCGGCTCAGTACTGTAATCACGCGCTTTGCTGTAATAATGCAGGAAACTACTCGTTATAAATCTCCTAACTGTGATATTTTCAGAAATAGAAGTCGCGTTTTTTCATCTGAAACGTGCTGCGATTTATATTCCAAAGCCACTCATAAAATGCAGAAACACTCAAGCAAGCAAAACACACGCAACGTGTGCAGGTATTTGTACTGATGCAGAATAGTACAGACTAGCGCATTTCACACAGGCTGTTAGTTTCACTTTCGCCAGAAAGTCTTGTATGCCTAAGGTTGAAAATAGATGAGCAGTGAATGCCCCGATAAATGGTCTTATTTTTAAGATTTATTTTTAATCCAAATGATGCGCGTGCTGAGTGAACATCAAATATCACACAACAGAATTGCACTCTCTCTCTCTCTCTCCCGTTAAGTAACTTGTGCATTGTTTTACTTACTTGTCTTTGACATATTCGACCGAACGACAAACTTTCCAGTGATGTCTGTGAGAAAGAGATATTCACTTGACAAGCTCGCGCATCTGCGTCGCCGCACGCTCAATCCACTCAGCGTGCTTTGTTTATCAGCTCGCGCACATCAGCTATACAGACGTTAATACTGAATGTTTAACATTATATCCATTGCATACATATACTTCGTAGTAGACATCCTTAACTCCTTTCTGCTGTCTGTTGTTCTGTTGTCGGTGGTTCTTTGTCTGAATATGGCACTTATCACATGCTGTGTGGTATCGGGGCATTTTAACGAGTACGAGTACAGGAGCTCAGTATCGGGCCCCATACCGATACCAGTATAAATAAATAAAGGTGTGTATTGATGTCTTTCCGTGGTTGAAACAAGATACCTTCTGATGTTAATTCATGTTTATTTTGTGCTATAACTAGTAAAAAGGAAGAGATGATCAATTCACGCGCCGTTTGAACTGAGGCGCTACAACAATATGTCACAACACATTAAAGCAGAGGTCCCCAACCACCAGGTCGCGACCCACTACCGGGCCGCAGAAGAATTGCTACCAGGTCGCAAGAACATTCTGGGAAAAATGTGTATAGATATGACACTCTGTTATTTATTTATGTTAATGATTGTTCTAATTATTCTGTATTTTCTTTGTATGTGATTGATATGGAGCAGCAATTTCATGTTAAATAAGTAAATGAAAGATTGCTCTGATCTGTCACATATTAGGAGTTAAACGGATCGCAGTTGATCTGTAATAGGTATGGATGAGACCCTACCACTCGGCACGCACGTGATTCGCAGATTAATTTGCCAATTTACATGTACAAGCAATTTTAAACCACAAGAAGAAGAAACGAAAGAGAGCTCTATTCATTACTCATGTGCTGTGCTCGCACACAATCAAAGTGCGCACTAGCATAGAGACGTGCTTCAGACAGCACGGAAATACCGAGTTGCGTATACATAGGCCTACATATAAAATTAGAATGTCAAAAACCCATCACGACATTGTCATTCTCTGTGCTTTAAATATATATTTTCTTGCTTATCCAAAAAAAAGTCTGATCTGTGTCTAAAAAAAAAAAACACAATATAATGCGTTGAACCACTATATAATGCTATTATAGTACTATATAATAGCCTAATATATATATATAGGCTAAGGCTAAGGCTATATACCCTGCCCCCTCCCCCCCAGCTGGTCTGCAAGAATATTTTCCAAACATAACCGGTCCATGGTGTAAAAAAGGTTGGAGACCCCTGAATTAAAGAGCCGCAAAACGCTAATTATTGTTTGAATTTCTTAAAAAATTGGTGACCCATACTCGGAATTAGTGCGCTGCATTTATCCCATCCAAAGTGCACACACACAGCAGTGAACACACCCACACCATGAACACACACCCGGAGCAGTGGGCAGCCATTTTTTTACTGCAGCGCCCGGGGAGCAGTTGGGGGTTCGGTGGCTTGCTCGAGGGCACCTCAGTCGTGGTATTGAAGGTGGAAGAGAGCGCTGTACATTCACTCCCCCCACCTACAATCCCTGCCGGTACGAGACTCAAACCCGCAACCTTTGGGTTACGAGTCCGACTATCTAACCATTAGGCCACGATAGCATAGCAACAGTGTGACCACATGACCACATAGACTAAGGGGGGCGGGTCTTTTTCAAAGGGTCAATTGATTATTGAAAATAATAAAAAAAAATTACCGCTGAACCGCTGAAAGAATGATAAAAGCTATGATGGAGACAGCTGACGCGAGAGTCGCAATGAGGAAGTACAGAAGAAATGTAACTAGATGTGGCGCAAGAGGTTCTGAAAGAAAAACATACATTAATAAGGTTTATACCAAGGGTGTCCAATCCTGCTCCTGGAGGGCCAACATCCTGGAAGTTTCTACTGAATCTAAAGACCTTGATTAGCTGGTTCAGGTGTGTTTAATTAGGGTTAAACTCTGCAGGATAGTGGCCCTCCAGGAACAGGTTTGAACACCCCTAATTTATACAATGTATGATGTTATCTTGTATTGTACAACAAAGATATATAGATATGTAGGGAGTGGGGTCGTCTCAAACCAGGCCGTGTGGTCCAGTAGACGGGGTCGCTCCACTCTGAGGGATATCCAGAGTAACGCCATCCTGAACGTCTGGATGCACTCACATTACAGCGAACCTGAGCATGATACTCTGAGGAACCCTTGAGAGAACGCTCCGATATAGCAAACACCATCTCTCCGTCAGAGAGAAAGATGCTCTTTATATCCTCCTACAGACAAAGATGAAGTTAACACATGCATGAGAGAATGAAAGTGGGTGTTTGTACAGCTATGACACTTTTGGCCTTGTGGACTTTTGGAAGATACATTAAACTCTCTTAAAGCACATTTTTGAGAAAACATATTTATTTGTCTACTGACAATGTACAAAAGTGTATATACAAAAATTAGTAATTCAAGTAATATTTTCCTTGATTTGATATTTTCCTCACATATCAGAAGTTTCATATATGTTGTCTCCTTGGTAAACAAGTAAACTAAGTTTAAAAAAAAAAACTGTATTAGTTGCTAAATTGTTAATTTTGTGGAAAAGGCAAATTTGGTTTAAAAATGTATTTTAATCACTATACAATAAAAGTAGTAAAATGTATATATGAAGACAATGAAAAGTATCAATGTGACCTTCATATATCCAGAGCTGGGTAGATTATTTACAAATTGTAGTCCATTCCAGATTACATGATGAAAACTAGTTAGTGACGTAATCTGGATTACTCATTTTAGGTAATGTATTCTGATTACTTTTAATATTACTATTAGATTCATTTAATTAAGCTTGTTTTAAATAAAAAAATAAATAAATAAACGCACTTTTGGCCTTGTGGACTTTTAGAAGATACATTAAACTCTCTTAAAGCACATTTTTGAGAAAACATATTTATTTGTCTACTGACAATGTACAAAAGTGGATATACAAAAATTAGTAATTCAAGTAATATTTTCCTTGATTTGATATTTTCCTCACATATCAGAAGTTTCATATATGTTGTCTCCTTGGTAAACAAGTAAACTAAGTTTAAAAAAAAAACTGTATTAGTTGCTAAATTGTTAATTTTGTGGAAAAGGCAAATTTGGTTTAAAAATGTATTTTAATCACTATACAATAAAAGTAGTAAAATGTATATATGAAGACAATGAAAAGTATCAATGTGACCTTCATATATCCAGAGCTGGGTAGATTATTTACAAATTGTAGTCCATTCCAGATTACATGATGAAAACTAGTTAGTGACGTAATCTGGATTACTCATTTTAGGTAATGTATTCTGATTACTTTTAATATTACTATTAGATTCATTTAATTAAGCTTGTTTTAAATAAAAAAATAAATAAATAAACGTATCATATTGATATAAAAAAGTTAAAAGAAAGAAAATATATTACATTTTTAATCTCAACATTATAAAAGGCATTAAACATTACATTAGTGATCTGATAAGAGAGTGCATAGTGAATAGTGAGTTGATAAAAACCTAATAATTAAATCATAAAAATGTAAAATAAAAGCACTTAAACACTAAAAATATAAATATTTTATTTGTTTATATGCACGTCAATGCAACGATTTAACAACATCAGAGGATTATAAACGTGAATGCGTTGTTAAATTATTGAAATATTAACTTTCTCAGCAATATTTCAAGAAAATATCACATTATAAGAGTTCGGCTTACAAAAATGTTTGGTAATCCCTGCTTTACATGAACAAACATTAACAAACATGAAAACAACGACATTACACGCCCAAAGTCTTCCATGTTTGAAACATTTTTGTTCAGACTTAATAATTTACTGCCACTGTGTGAATAATATGTAATCATGTAATTGTAATCTGATTATAAGCATTTTAAAATGCAATATACTCCAATTACAAGTGCTTAATTTTTTTATTCTGATTACTTAATCCAGATTACATGTAAACAGTTACTATCCAGCACTGCATATATCAAAAAAGTTAAAGAAACACCATTAAAATAATAAATATTTAAAAAATATTGCATAGACAAACAGTATTTAGTGTTTTATCTTGTATTTTAGACTATATCATATGTCATGCACTAGAAAAAAAAATTGCACATCTTGTGCCTAAATAGGAGCAGTATGTAAAAACAACAACAAAAGTAATACAAATAAAAAAGTAACTTCATATACATAAAAAAATATATATATATATAAAATTTGTTATAAACAAAAAAAAACTACTGGGATACTGGGATGAAAAAACACCCTTATATATTTAATACTCACAGGAGTTAGTAGGCTCAAGTACTTGAGTTCAGTAGTGAGTGGTACAGTACGATACTTTGTTAAAGTCCAGTTCAAAATCCAGTCTTCTCCTCTCAGTTCAACGCTCAGACCCGTGGGACATGCAGGCTGGACTAGACCACAAAAACCACCGATACAGACCAGATCAGTAACACAGCTCTGAGAATCTGTAGAGGTTTTGATTAAACAGCTTTCTGGAATACTTGATTCAGATTAGCCTGGCAAGTATTTTAAAAGTATTTTTTATTTGTAGAAGTACAAACTGTGTTCGTAAGAGCGGATCACTTTGGTCACCGGCATTGGCGTGAGTTGCACCTGCAGCAATCCAGGCTCAAAGACACTGAAGACACCAACCATCCTCAACAAAGCTCCTTTATTTGTGACCTCCACCTTCTCAACACAGCACCACTCGTTCCTAAAAGAGAAAGATCACACCAGTCAGAGCTAAAGACACCGTTTACACCATCTAAAACGCTCTCGAACACACTCACGGTGCAGTGGAGTGTGTCCGGTAGGACAGTGTGTAGCTGATGTACTGGGCCAGATCTGTTTTGACATCCCAGCTACAGCTCAAATTATTCCCGTCACTGAGCACGCAGTTTAGGTTAGATGGACCAGGGAGTGAGTCTGAAACAAATAATTGTCAATAATACTCCAGGACACTAGGGAGCTCCACTTGCCTAAATATAAAAGACTTCCACTGGGATTTCCTTTATACTCACACTCAGATATCAGTTCTGGCCTGTCAGTCAAGACCTCAGTTTTATTCCCGCCATCTTCCACGTGTTTCTGTGTTGGCTTGTTGTGAATGTTCCCGCCATTTTTGTCCTTGATTATTTCATGGTCAATTTCCAGCTACAAAGGTACAACATACGATTCAGTTCGACACTTAAAAACAACAAAATCACTTTATGTTATGTTTAAACCTCCAAAAAGCATGAAGAACTCTTGTAATATAAGTCTTTTCAACAGTCTCATGGCAGCTTGTAACTATTTTATGTTTTATCGAATTGATGGCTAACACCGTGTCCTAATCAGATGTGACGCGACGCAACAAGATTCCAGCGACAAGCAATTTGGCGGTCCACACCAGATGCGAAATAACATGACGCGACAGAATCACTCTATATCACAGCTATTTCGAAGCGCAGCTTCCCAACGAAATGGACAAGTTTATAATCTAATTCATAAATATTAAACATTTTTAACATTATTAAAATACATACTGAGTGACTGATACCATCTTTGTTGGAATACGGATTGTTACACTTGTTGGCTCGCATTGAGTTCGCAGTTTTAATGTAAATGTTTGCTTTAATTTATTTTCGAAATCTGAGGTACACTATCTATTGTTGCTTTCAGTATGGCTATAAAGGTCACGCCAAATGATATTCAAACTCACGTTAGACATTTTTAACATTGAATAAAGCACATTATCAGTACCTGAGATTATCTTTGTTATAGTTTGTATGCTGTTGTTCCAGCCGCGACATCGAAGAATTAGATACCATTTTTAAAATAGAATCTTCGTGTGTCGCTGTCGCTGCTGGTTAGGAAAATAGATCTTTTATCGTGTGTCGCTGTCGCTGCTGGTTAGGAAAATAGATCTTTTATCGTGTGTCGCTGTCGCTGCTGGTTAGGAAAATAGATCTTTTATCGTGTGTCGCTGTCGCTGCTGGTTAGGAAAATAGATCTTTTATCGTGTGTCGCTGTCGCTGCTGGTTAGGAAAATAGATCTTTTATCGTGTGTCGCTGTCGCTGCTGGTTAGGAAAATAGATCTTTTATCGTGTGTCGCTGTCGCTGCTGGTTAGGAAAATAGATCTTTTATCGTGTGTCGCTGTCGCTGCTGGTTAGGAAAATAGATCTTTTATCGTGTGTCGCTGTCGCTGCTGGTTAGGAAAATAGATCTTTTATCGTGTGTCGCAGGAATCGCGTCGCGTGTATTTAGGACAGGGTGTAATTTGTGTGAAATGTTATGTTTTTGTAAGATCTGATTATACAATAACATGAAGGTAGGGGTGAACCTTCTTGTTATTTTTTTTCCTAAAAATTATGTTTTCATACGAAATCACCAACTTGTAAAACCAAGTGTGCCGCACACGTCCTGAAAAGTGATGCCAAAACATAACTAATACATCACATAACGCTGGCTGAAGTATAATGAATACTTAAACGAATAGGACGTAACCTAACTAAAAAAAATCTAAATGCATTTCAAATAAATTTTGCCCAAAAATAGTTTCCATCATTTTAAGTAGTTTTTTTATTTTTTTTATCAAAGTGATGTACGTTCAAGTGTTTGTTTCTCTAATAAAATTGTGTTTAGTTTAGTAAAAAAAAAAGGGGTGTGGTGTCATGATTGTGATCTTGTGATTGGGTCTGTGAGAGTTTGGGCGGGACTTTGATACCCCGCGACTCCACCTCACGATCACTACTGCGCAGACATCATATCAAAATGACGGCATTTTCACAAGATGACATACTGGGTTTTGGCTTCCCTTTTCTATAGTGGAAGGATGTGAAGATGCATTATCCATTAAAGCAATAAACCCCAAGAAGCCGTGGTTTACAGTGAATTTATAACAGCTAAGCGGGCGTTGTTATGCACGACGCGAAGCGAACCCCTTTAGCTGTTATAAATTCACTGTAAACCACGGCTTCACGGGGCTTATTGCTTTTATAAAACGGTTATTCCATATACGTAGCAAGGTGTCACAAAATAAAACAGAGCAAATAAAGTGTAATGATATTAATAAAAACATTATTCTTCCACCAAACAATGTAGTTCCTCAGAATCGGTTGTGGTTCCAACAAAGTGGTTGCCGAGCAACACACAAATATAAACAAAGGTGTGTTGCTGCGTCCCAATTCGCCTACTTATACTATGCCCTAAAAGCATGTACTCTTTTTGTTAAGAAAAAGTACATACTTTTTAGTATGTAGCAGAATAGTAGGCCAGCTTTGGGACATACTACTTCGTCCTAACTGCGTCTTTAACGGACGCTCTGTTGCTTAGATACATGCATTCTGTCACTGTTTAAACTGCACTGTAATCATCTTGTCTCATCGAGGCACATTTTGTTTAATTCAATTTCCTACCGTATTGGAGAGAAATCTGCCCAGATCTGGTCTATCATGCCGAGAACTCTTTTCATGTATGCATAATGATGCATTTAAGAGTTAATGACCAAACATTTAAACATAAATGTTCACAATGTTGCTGCAGATGAAATATAACGCGCCTAACATTAAATAAATATTTTTAATCAGGTTAGACATTGATTATGTATCTACCCTGTACAACCTGTTTGCACATTCTTCTCTTGTACATTCCTGCTCATCTTAATATTTATTAAGTCTACAGTATTTTATTTTATTCGTATTTTTTTATCTTATTTTTTCCATACCTATATTTATATAAAATTTTTGTATTGTATTATTTAGTGTTTGTATTCTTCAATAATTGCACTGTCCATGGAGCAGACCTGACTTACATTTCACTGCTGGTCATATATTCTCTATATAACCATGTATGTGACAAATAAAAAATCTTGAATCTTGATTATTTATCACTCAAACCCTAGTCTCTGCCTGTCCGTCGCTCTCGCATATCCGCCATGTTTGTTGTTTTTAAACACTTTTTATGCGTTTGTAGTTCTAATCGAATCCTCGTCCACCGTGCAATGCATTGTGGGTAATATTAGCCGTTAGAGTGCGCATTGATCTGCACTTCGAATTTTAATCTCAAGTAGTACACTCTTAAAAATTAAGGTGCTTCAAAAGGTTCTTCAAGTCTTCAAGATTCCATAGAAGAACCATTTTTGGTTCCACAAAGAACCATTCAGTCAAAGGTTCTTTAAAGAACCATCTCTTTCTTACCTTTTTATAATCTGAAGAACCTTCTTTCGCCACAAAGAACCTTTTGTGAAACAGAAAGGTTCTTCAGGTGTTAAAGGTTCTTTATGGAACCATTTAGACAAAAAGGTTCTTCTATGGCATCGTGAAGCACCTTTATTTTTAAGAGTGTAGACCATCTGGGAATCTTTGGCATACACTTTTCAACATACTATGATTTGGGACATACTAATTCTATTTTCAAATACTATTTAGGATGGATAGTATGCGAATTGGGATGCAGTTTATGTTTGTAGAGTAATTTACAACAGCTTCGAACTTGGCTCAACCAATCAGAATCAAGGACCGGAACTTTCCGTTTTATACGTTTCTTTACAGTCTATGTGTAAAACAGTCACGTTTTCTTGAAAGAACATGTTGGTGTTTTTGACCATGAGGAAGTCAGAAATCATTTTCAAAGACATTCTCGTGTCAGTTTAGCATGACCTTTGACTGAAAGTGTGGTCGTTTTGACACTCACCGAGTGCTCTTGGTCATGCTGTCTGAAGGGGTCAGAGGTCGGAGGTGAGGGTGGCAGTGTGTCATCTAGCTGGTAAAAATTCCAGTATGGATCTGCATCTTCTATAGGGAAGTCAAGAGTAGACTTAGCTTAAGCATTACATAAATAGCCAATGCTTAGGTATGTCTATGGTATAAATGTATTGTACCAAATTTTGTGAGTCTGAAGGTTCTGTAAATGCCGGAAGAGTTTGCCATGTGGAAGAAGAACAAGTCATCAAAGCCGATGGCAAATAGAGATGTGTTATACTGACAATAAACTCTCTCCATCCCAGTGGGATTCTGGGAAGGGTTAGGAGTCGGAACACAGGGCGAAACTCTGAAATAAAGCAAAAAATCATAAAAACAAGCAATCATGAGCTATATTCTAGTCTTTTAGCTTATTGTATGTGTCACAGATTGCTCATGAATCAGTTTTTAGATTTTAAACTGTGATTTTCAAAGCATTTTCCTAAACTACTTGTCCAGCTATTATTTTACTCTATTATGACTCTAATTAAATTAATATAATATACTATTACTTTGTAATAACATCACATTTCTAGTATATTATACTGTATTCACTGATTTGCTTAAATGTTTTAAATATTAATAAAGAAATGTAATATAATAAAATGAATACATATTAAATGATTAATTTTATTACCAAAAATATTACATTAAGAATAGAACGCTGTATTATATTATATTATATTATATTAGTTTAGATACAACTCAGATCAAAACTATTGAATTACTTCAGCAGTATTTCTACATATTATTTTGCTAAATGTATAATAAAAATAGCTGTAAATCTATCAACTTTATTGTCAAACTAAAACGCAGCGATGATGTTACAAGCATTACTCACAGAATACATTATTATTTTAATAAAAACGAGACAAAATTGACTTTTTACATAGAATATAAAACATTCCCTTTCCCAAACAGTATAACGTAATTTATACGCTTCTACTTAAAAACATAATTTTAACAATATTTTACCATTAAAAACATACAGGATTGCCTTTGAATATAAGTCGTCGTCTCTTTCAATAATTAAGTCATTCATACTGCTGTTTAAAAAATTATGTTAAATATTTTATAGTAGAAAAGGTACCAGACAAATGAAATATAAGTCTTTACTGTCCAAAGTAGGGTAACTAAATATGAACATTTTCCTAGTACAATTACTGACATTGTTTAACGTATCATATTGTTACTTAATTATTATTACCTTACTATTATTCATATACTAACACAACTGAATTATTTCACTATTGTTACTCTACTACTATACCATTCCTGTGCATAAATTATTATTATTTTACTAGTATTACTTTTCTAATATGACTAAATTATTACTCTACAATTACTACTCTTCTAATATGCCTAAATGATTATTATTCTACTATTATTGCTGTACCAATGTCCAGTGATCTGAATGAAGACGCGGCTCACTCTCACCGGTGGTCATCTGGATCCATGTGGAGCAGAGAGAGAAGAACAGGAGGATCGTCTCTCCAGCTGCAGCGGATATGAGAGCGGTAGTCATTACGGCACGCCAAAGACTCCAGAGCAGAGGATTCTGGGAACAGAAGATGTAGAAAAAGCTAGAAAGACCTAATGATACTGAAACACAAGCCGATTAGAGTAAAGCAACCCTAACCTGGAGCAAACGTGTCAAGCTGAGGACATCCTGCGAGGACTGATGTCCACAGTACAGTCAGAGTCGAGGAGAGAGAGATGTTTGGACGCATGGAGAAAACTGACTGAACAACAGCTGGCGAAGAGGAAGGTCCGGATAATCCCTAACAAACGAGAATAATAATTAGACGAGTCAGAAACATCAGTTGAGCTTACTGCCAAAGCGCTTGTTCTTCACTGCTGTGATGAAGCCCAGGCTCTGCCGCTCACACTGACATCCTCAAGTGTTATGTGTAACTTTTGTGTGCCTGTGCCAGCCTGACCGCAAATGTGTTTACTCTCTAAAAGGTTCAAAACTGCTTTGTTTGCAGATTTCAATGTGCCATATGATTCCTTCCCCAAAATTAGAAAGTAAAACTGCATTTAAAAAAAACAATCTCAATATGCCAGTCTAATAATCTATTATAACTCATATACTAACACCTATATTATAGCAAATTTTGTATATCATATTTAAGATTCTATTTTTTATTAATTAAAAAGAAATCTTTCATATTTAATGTTTCAAAAACACTGAAATAATAAATTAACAGAAAAGACTATTATTAATTAAATTGCTTACATTTGTAAATATTTTAATTATTAATTAATCATTGTGTTAAATTATTAAGTATTACATATTTACTTATATATTAAATTATAAATTATTCATTATATTACATTACTACTTGCATATATAATACATTATTTTCTATTGTTTTTAATTTAATATTTAATATTTGAAAAAAAAATTATGATATACTGAATTATTAATTTAATTGCTTCAATGTCTTAAATATTAGAACAAATAAATATTAAATTATTATTTTTAATTGTATTGCATTACTAATTTAATATATAACATAATATAAATCTTATTTTCTTTTCTATCAAATTCAAATTCTATTTAAAAAGAAATATAAAGTCTATCATTATTATTAATTGATTAAATGTTTTAAATATTAACATTATTAAATATTGAAATATATCAATATTTTATAATATAATATCTTATTTTCTATTCTATTTTTAATTTAATAGATTTAAAATGTTAATGTGAAATTATAATAAAAACTAAAACAAATTAAAAGATTAAAAATAATATTTAAAAAAAATGAAAAATACATACTGAAACATTAATAGTACATTACATATTATTATTACTTAATTGCTTCAATGTTTTAAACATGATTTAATATTAAATTATTAACGGTATTATTAAAAATATCACATCAGAATAGAAAATAATAGAATGTGTGGAATTATATTATTTTATATTGCATTACATTGTTTTTTTTTAATGATTTGCATTGCCTAATTTACTACCAGGTGAAAATAAATAATATACAAAGGTATCTTAATACCTAAAACTAGAGTTTTGCTGAAATCACTAACTCTAAGTATGAGCGATGTGTTAGTGAAGCTTGCCTTAGCAAACACGGCTAATGATTAGCTGTAGTTCATTCAGGTCGAGAACATTCCTCCCGCTGATAGATCAGCCTCCTTCCACACATTCATCAATCAACCTCACACTCGCCTAAAGAGTAAACGTGTGTGTGTGTGTGATGTGCATACATGTGATAGATATCAGCACCAATCCCTGCTTACATTCAATTATAAAATGTACACGTATATAATTGTGTCACACAAGTCAAGATGCGACACACAAGACTTTTTCCGGCAATGAAAGGAACTGAAAGAAGAAGTTGGCTAAAAACTTCACCAAACAAGAAAAGTGAAATGTCACACCACCAATACTGCTGAAAATACAGAAGCATAATTTATTAGCACTGAAAATGTATCAAATATATTCAGCATCAGATTCCACTGTGAAATACTGGTTGTGTTAAAGAATTAAACAGCCAATTAAGATCCACCTTCTGCTGGTCAACAACAATAAACAGAAACGGAGGGTTTAAAGCTTCAAAAAGGACACAAAAGCAGCAAAAAATGACTTATGTACATATGACTTGTATGCTTAGTAGTCTAAGACAGGGTTATTATAGCTAATTACAACTCAAATTAAAACCATAAAAATGTTTTTGTTACTTTAATAAATTAAAACGATCAAATAAAACTTTCTTTTTAATTTCAGCTAGTTGCCAGTTGCCAAATATTTCTCATGTCTGTTTGATTGAACTAAAACAACTCAAGCTAAATAAACGAAAAATAAAATAATAAAACAGAAGAATAAAATAAAATACAAGAAAACACAAATATTTGGTTTATTATTTTGTTTAGTTTAAATTGAAATCCTAAAACAACTCAAACTAAATAAACAAACTATGAGATAAAAATAAATATAAAAAAGCAAAACAGTAAAAGAAAAACACACAAAAACAATTACCGAAATTTTACAAACACTTGCAACAACAACAACAAATAAAGTGAAAACAGATCATATGAAAAATTAAATCTCTATGAACTGTATATAAACTATAATAGTATATTAATAATAACACTGGTCTGAAGTCATTTAATAATTTTTTGGACAATTAAGTTGTTATTATTCAGGGATTATCTTCCAGTGATCTTTGAACTGTTGTTACCAGATCAGTGATTCGGTGAATCACTGAACCGATTCACTCTGATTCATAAATGAATCATTCAGACGGGATCAACTGATTCTGCTTCAAAAGTCACAAACGATTCAAGGATGAGTAAATACGACAAAATGGTGAAATATTATTGGGTAAACTATCCCTTTTAGTAACCAAAAATAGTTTGCAATTTGAAAACCCCATAAACTAAGAAACGTTGTGCAAATGATTTGGAAATGACGTTCGCTCGTTTCAATACTCGGTGTTGTAAACGGACAGATCTTTGGCATGCGTGACCAGCAGCTCCCAGGGAAACTGATTCACGGGCCGCTTGACCTTTGACCCCGTCTGTTTGCTCTCTTGCACCATGAGAGTGACGTCTTCATCGTCTAATATCCGTATCAGATCGCCCTCAGGGTCCCTGTAGTTCAAAGCAATAGCTTCCACTTGAAAGACGTCCCTGAGGGGGTAAACAGAGAGAAACGAATTGCGTAGTAGTTTAGAGGTGACAGCAAGTGCAAATATAATTAGTATAATGCAATTTCAGGCCTCCATGTTGTGTCGGCAGTCATGTGACCTTTATGCAAATGAGTCAATAGCAGCATTCAATGACAGATGTATATTCAACATGCAAATGAGGTTTATTATTAAACATTAATCCAGTGCAACTCGACACGTGGCCCTCAAGACATCGTTTTGTGGCCTTTGTGCTGTTGTTTGTTGAAAGAAAAAAAATTACTTGGGAAAAATAATCCAGCATTAATATGTAGTTAATAATTTTTTTATGGAAATTAGTATGAGATCTCTTGATTTTGAAGCTACTCACATCTGTTTTCTATACTGCAATAAATGTTGACAATTCGCACAACATAAATTGTTTGTAATTTTACAGTGTGATTAATTTTGCTCTAACATATGTAGATACTATCAATTTAAAAATCCAACTGGTTTTTCGAATACAATTTTATATATTTATTTTGCATTTTTTTTAATGAATTATATTAAGAAGTGGTGCTGTCAAACGATTAATCGCGATTCATCGCATCCGAAATAAACCTTTTTGTTTACATAATATATGAGTGTGTACTGTGTATATTTATTATGTTTATATAAATACAAAAACATGCATGTATATATTTAAGAAAAATATGTTATGTTTATATATTAAATATTTTTATATATAATATATTTATTTTAATATAAATATATACACGTGAATACATGTCAATATTTTCAAAATATATACTATACGTGTGTGTATCTATATATATATATAATAAATATACACAGCATACATACAAATATGTAAACAAAAACTTTTATTTTGGATGCGATTAATCGTGATTAATCATTTGACAGCACTTAAGAATAAATAATAAGATGCATTATTAAATATTATTTTGTTAATAATTACATTTTTAATTAGAAATAATAATAATTTAATATTTATTCGTTTTAGAAATGAATAATTTAATATAATATACAAAGAATTTAATAAAATCAATTAATTTACAATTAATGTAATAAAAATAGTTTAAAAAAAACAACTGAATATATTACATTGTTAAATAATATTTAAATACTATTAAATGTAAGTAACTAAATTGAAAATTCAAAATTGTAATGTAAGTGCCGTTGCGCTACGGGCATCCCGAGTTCGAATCCCAGCTTGAGGACCTTTCCAGATCCCATCCCCCTCTCTCGCTCACTTCCTGTCTCATCTACACTGTCCTATAACAATAAAGGCAAAGAAATGCCCCCCCCCCCC